ATAAATTATTGATTTATTTAAAAAAAACCAAATTTAATTAAAAATTCCAGGCAAATTTGCCTGGAAAACAGTCTAAGGGATACAATTGAGTAATTAGTATTATAAAATAAAACAAACTCACATAATAATACTAAACAAACTTTAATAAAACAATGTATAATATTATGGGTTTAGGTCACAGATAACTAGTCTGAGCTTCTAATCTTAATTTCTAGTAGATATAAAAACTTCTGTATATTTACTTGTAAAAAGTTTAACTGAGTTTTAATAAAAATAATTAAAAAAAAAAAATTATTACGTATGCGACCTTTCATAAATTAAGTACTGTACAACGATGATTTAGGCTATATGTAATTATTATGCGGTTTCATAATCAATGATCACCTGACCAATTATAGTTGAACCAATCGATCCATATGTGCGTACGCAAGTACTTCACAGTTTGTAAAAGAACATGGCAGACGCAGGAGATTGGTGCCTTATTGAAAGCGATCCAGGTAATTTGATTAAAAGCCAAGTTCATTGTTGTGTTGTGAATATGACCTCAGTAAATTGATTTTTATAGGTGTTTTCACCGAATTAATAAAGAAATTTAATGTTGGTGGTATACAAGTCGAGGAAGTATGGAGCCTAGACTCTCAGACTATGGAAGAATTAAAGCATGTGTTTCAAGCTTGGCAGTTTTACAAGTTGACCTTCTAATGAATCAAAACTTAGTTCGACTAATATATGATCAAATTAAATTAAATTGCATTAAGACCTGTACATGGTTTAATTTTTCTTTTCAAATGGCAAGGCATTAATGGCAGTTCCGGATCACACCCGGATGCAGATTTAAGCATCGATGATACTGTTTATTTTGCAAAACAAGTAAATAGATTTTTGTTCTGCCATTTGTTTTTCCATTCGATTTTTTTTTAATAGTTCAATATTTCTCGATAGGTAATTAATAATGCATGTGCTACTCAAGCGATTTTATCCATCTTACTTAACTGTCCATCGATTGATTTGGGACCAGATTTACAACAGTTCAAAGAGTTCACAAAAGAATTTGATCCATATGTAAGTTAATACAATTCCTGTTCTCGCAGTTATATGGTTGAATGCGTTTATGATTAAAATGTTTATTCTCATCACAATTCATTGATATATAGTACAAGGGTTTAGCAATTACCAACAGTGAACTTCTTCGTTCCGTCCATAACAGCTTTTCTCGATCTGATCCATTCATTATAGATTCATCTGAATCATCCTCAACTGAAAAAGAAGATATTTTTCATTTTATCTCATATGTTCCTGTACATGGTGCTCTTTACGAGTTAGACGGCCTTAGTAATGGCCCTGTAAATTTAGGTAAAATAAGTTTCAATGTATATATATATGTTTAATTTTAATTTCTTTAACCTTGCTTTATTTTAAATAATAGGCCCATGTACTGATGATGACTGGCTAGAAAAAGTTCGTCCCGTAATACAAGAACGTATGGCACGATATGCCTCAGCTGAGATTCGATTTAATTTATTAGCTCTTATCAAAAATCGTGAAGACGTGTATAGAACGCGTCTTGAAACCGATATAAGCCTTGAAGAAAGAGAAGAATTATTACACAAAATTGAATTAGAGAATATCAAGTTTAAAAGATACGAAGTAAGACTGATTACATTAATGAATTACTAATTTCTTTTATACTAATATATTACAAATGTTCCAACTTATTCTATTAAAATAGCGCGAAAACTCTTTACGCAAGCATAATTTTATTCCATTGATATACAATATTATTCGAGTCTTGGCACAACGTGGTGAATTGGATGCACGTATAGAACATGCTAAAAAAGAGGTGGCCAAAAGGAGAAAGGAACGTGCAGAGAAGAAGAAAAATGCTGAAGCTTCCGGTAGTAAGAATTAATTAATCTTATATCTACGCATTTATTCAAGTATTCAAAAAAATTAAAATTTTGCTGTGGGCAAATTTAATCGAACTTCTAATTTGATATAATACACGTTAAAAATGAATTTTATAATGAAGTCATCAAGGTGGAAAGAAATACTATGACTTATATATGAGTGCGGCTAAGAGAAAACCTCGTTCTTGTTTTTTTTTTTTTGCTAAACTCAGCCATGATCCAAAACATATGTATCGCATCTAGGGTATGATCTATTAAAACAGCCTATTTTTACATATAAACAATTTTGAATAGATCGATTTTAAATAATGATCTACAAATAGTAATACATATAAATTTTTTAACTTGAAGCTCATTTTGTGAAACTTTTTATTATATAATTAGCTTTAACAACCTTTTATTGAATATATGTCGCATCTGAAGTAGCGATTTATCTAAAGTAGTGCCCTGACTAAAACTATAACTTAATGCATTGGGGGGTCCCATATCGGTCTAATTACAAATATAATTCAGGTGATATAGTGATAATCATTAATCAAGATTTTTTATAATAAAATTTTACGATCTGCACGCAATATTTAAAGATTATAAAAAATAGACTTCGGGTCTCCTCTAATTTCTCCCGTAATATCTAGTATTTTTTAATTCTATAAAAGCAAGATGTTTAATGAAAGTCGTCTTTATATAGTGACAACGTTAGAATTTTTCTTATCTTTTAAATTTTCTCTTAAATATGGTCCGATAAAAGTAAGCTACGGGTAAACTATGGTTACAAGTTTAGATCGGTTGTATATCAGAATCCCGACACACAAAATCCCGACACACAAAATCCTGGAAACAAAATCCCGATAAATAAAATCCTGACAAATTAAAATCCCGACAATATTAAAATCCCAACACCCAAAATCCCAACACCCAAAATCCCGATACTCAAAATCCCAATACACAGAATCCCGACTCTCAAAATCCCGATACTCAGAATCCAGATACTCAGGATCCCGACACTTAAAATCCTGACACACAGAATCCCGATACTCAAAATCCTGAAACACAGAATCCTATCACTCAAAATCCTGAAACCCAGAATCTCGATACTCAAAATCCCAAAACCCAGAATCCCGATACTAAAAATCAAAAAACACAACTCTAATCTAAAAATCTAAAACATGGAATCAAATATCACTAATCAAAGTCTCAAAATTTAGTTATCCAACATACATATTCATCTTTTTTAATATATATATATAGATCAAAAAAAAACCCCCAAAATACTTTATAACTACTGTAACTATACTTGTTGGCAAAATCCCAAACTATTATAAAATTAGTTTGTCCATGCCCAAATCCCAAACTCTGGCCAAATTCATATCTCAAAAATTTAATTAATAATCCTTATTCAAACTAATATCAGATATTCTTATAGTTATATATAATATATTAGCAAAATTTCAATACTATTTTTTTGATTCAATTTTTTATAAATAACAATTGTTTTTTTGAATTTGTCCAGGTTTTGCTATTTTGCGGCAAGTATAACTGTAACCTAATTCTAACTATATATATATTATATACATTTCAAATCTAACTACTGTACAATATTTAGAAACCCAATTACTATATTTTTAAATATATATTATATATTTTGAATCTAACTACTAACTACTATACCTAACTATATACAGTATATTATATATTTTGAATCTAACTATTAACTACTGCATTATGTTTTGATCTAATTACTATATATATATCATACATTTTGATGTCTAGAACCTAATTACTATATCTGACTATATACTATATAGTTTGAATCTAACTGCTAACTATTGCACTATGTCTATACTAACTACACACTATGTTTAGAACCTAATTACTATATATATTTCAAATCTAACTACTAAATATTGCACTATGTCTAGAACTTAATTATTATATACATTTTGAATCTAATTACTAACTACTACACTATATCTAAAACTTAATTATTATATACCTTTCGAATCTAATTATTGTGATATATCTAGAATTTAATTATTATGCTATGTTTAGAATTTAACTACTATGCTAAATCTAAAATCTAACAACTGTGCTATGTCTAGCTTTGATAAATTATGTTATACTCAGCTTTAACAATCATATTATGTTAAATTCTAACAACTATGCTATGTTTAAATTTAATTTCTATACCTTAAAATCCAAATATCATACTATGTTTAGTTCTAACTACTGCATTATATTTGGTTTTAACCATTGTACTATATTTAATCTAACTATTATGCTACATTGGAGTAGGCAGTCAATTAAGTAAATCAAAATTATATATAGTTACTTATTAATTTGATTAATCAATGATTTTTAAATGATTGATTACTAATATGTTTTTATATATATAATTGGATTTTGCTTTTTTAAATGCACAAGTTGATTTTTTTTTCATTGATGATTTAATATAAATTGATTTTTGTATATTACAACTACAAAGTTACTAAGCCATTTCTTGCATTGTTTATAAAAATATTTATTTTTTTAAGTTATTTTAATTTGGACTGTTTTAACTAATTGACCAGATGAATTTTTTTAATTAACTGTTAAGTTTTTTTTTCAGATAAAATGCAAATTTCACATTGTAGTTTAGTTCTTTGAAATATAAAGTTGATCTTTTCAAATTTTTATTTTAGAATTCTTTATTGTTAATTTTGTGCATTTAATCAAAGATAAGTATTTATAAATTGTATAAACAATGAAAAATTGTTCACTTAGAAACATTATTATACAAAAACTTGATAATAAATTTTTATATAATACTACATATAGTTTTGATTTACTTAATTGACTGCCTACTTCAATGTAGCATAGTAGTTAGATTAGATATAATACAGTAGTTAGAACCAAACATAATGCAATAATTAGAACTAAACATAGTACAGTATTTGGATTTTGAAGTATAGAAATTAAATTTAAATATAACATAGTTGTTAAAATTAAATATAGTATAATTGTTAAAGCTAAATATAATATAATTTATTAAAGCTAGACATAGTACAGTTGTTAGATTCTAGATTTAGCTTAATAGTTAAATTCTGAACATAGTATAATAATTAAATTCTATATAAATATATCATAATAGTTAGATTTGAAAAGTATATAGTAATTAAGTTCTAAATATAATGTAGTAGTTAGTAGTTAGATTTAAAATATATATAGCAATTAAGTTCTAGATATAAAGCAATATTTAGTAGTTAGATTTGAAATATATATAGTAATTAGATTCTAGACATAGTAAGTAGTTAGTATAGACATAATGCAATAGTTAGCAGTTAAATTTAAACTATATAGTATAGTTAGATATAGTAATTAGATTTTAGATATTAAAATATATGATATATATATAGTAATTAGATCTAAACATAGTGCAGTAGTTAATAGTTAGATTCGAAATATATGATATACTGTATATAGTTAGGTATAGTAGTTAGTAATTAGATTCAAAATATATAATATATATTTAAAAATATAGTAATTGGGTTTTTAAATATAGTACAGTAGTTAGATTCAAAATATATATAATATATATATAGTTAGAATTAGAATACAGTAGTTATAAAGTATTTATGTTTTTTTTTAATCTATATATATATATTAAAAAAAATGAATATGTATATTGGATAACTAAATTTTGAGACTTTAATTAGTGATATTTGATTTCATGTTTTAGATTTTTAATATTAAAGTTCTGTGTTTTTGATTTTTAATATCAAGATTCTGGGTTTCAGAATTTTAAGTGATAGGATTCTGTTTTGAGATTTTAAGTATTGGAATTCTGGGTTTTAGGATTTTAAATAATGAGATTCTGTGTTTTGGAATTTTGAGTATCAGGATTCTGTATATCAGGATTTTAAGTATTAGGATCCTGAGTGTCTGAATTCTGAATATTGGAATTTTAAGAGTCAGAATTTTGTATATTAGGATTTTGTGTATCAGGATTTTAATAATTTCAGGATTTTGAATATTAGAATTTTGAATGTTGGAATTTAATATTATTAGAATTTTAATTTGTCAGGATTTTATTTATCAGGATTTTGTTTTCAGAATTTTGTATATTAGGATTCTGATATACAATCATTTAGATTGAATAAATATAATATAATGTATTAAATAAGGTATTTATAGTTATTATAAAGAAATTACTATTATATATTCTTTAAAAACATACTATGTTTTAAATTAAAGATCTATTTATTACTTGCTAGTTGTTTTTTTTTTATTATAATTAACAAATAATTATTAAATCAAAAATCAAGTATATAAGTAGAAATTCAAGAATATGAAATTACTATCAACAATAAGCTTATTAAACTTAGACTTGAATATTTAGTACTACTATTTATACTAAAGCTCAATTATAAAAGTTAAGAAATTTTAGTATTTAAGCAAAGCAATAAATTATAAAAATTACATTTGTATATTTAATTCAAATATTAATATTAAAAACTTCTAGTTTATAAACATAATAAGTTATATAAGAATATTGAAAAAATAAAAGACAAATTCTTAGAGGTGTGGTAACCTAGTGAAGTGATTAGGTTGTCAACCCCCCAAGTGGTAGGTTGGATGTTCAAATCCTATCGATGATGAAAATTTGGATAATCACCTATGTAATATTCATATTACAGCAACTGTTATTAATGATTGGGTTAGGATACCTGTAATG